TAATGTTGAGTATCAGCTGAGTATTCAGATCTTTCTCTTCCACTTAACTTCTAAACATCTTTCCACAGCTATATTAGGAAAGTCGGTTGACTGACCCTTTAGCTCATGGGTGTGACCTTGGCGATTTCCTTGAAATAGTGTTGAAGGATTTAAAGTTACAGGTTTTGATTGCTACTGTAGATTACTATGTAGAGTTCTCTACTTGTCAGATATAGAAAAAATAGTATGTGTAAAACATACAAGGGAAACTTAGAAAAAAAGTGTAAGTTTCCTAACTAGATCTTGGAGATAAGTTTGCAGTTTCAAGGGTGCAAATGAATTGGTCAACAAGTAGCAGTTTGTTTAGGTTAAATGTTTTAATGATCTTTTAATTGGGCACTTAGGCAACCCGGAAGGGGGAGCCTAGTAGATTTGCTGGATACTTCCACTTACTTGTCTATAAATAGATTTCTGATGTGTTCTTGACAGTTTTTGATGACTCTGAATACCTTATTGCTCCTACTATGGTAATGAATATTCCATAGGAAGAAATGTTAAGATAACCTGTTCACCTTAAAGTAGAGCTTTGCTTGTCTTAACAGTTTGAGCACAAAAAAGAACAATATGGAAAAGTTGCAGCAATTATCAGCGTGGTGGCATTCACCTCTGATTTGTTGTCCTTAAGCACAAATTATCGTGCTATTCATTAAGCATTGTCTAATGTGTAACATTTACTAATTTGCAGATCTGGTAGTGGCAGAATTCACAGTAGCTTTACTCACAAATGAATATCTGCTTCAAACAAAACCAAAACCAAAACAAAAACAGAAGAAATGATCTAAAGAAACGTCAGACTTAGATTTCAGGCAGTTATAGCAATATAGTTCCTACTTTTTCCCAAAGAGTATGTTGTGGTAAATGTTTTAAAAAGCAATAATCACAATATGAACTAAATCTCGGCATTCTCTCAACATGTAGGGTTACACTGAGTAGCCTCTTGTCTTAGGTGCCTTGGGGTATATGGCTGAAGGCTAAGTGCTGTTATTTACTCTGTAAAGGTTCAGAAGAAACTTTTTCAACATTTTTGCAAAGTGCCTTTTAATAAGCTGAGTGTGTTCAGAATTTGCTCCCTTTGCTGCAAACGAGAAGAAGCATTTAGACTGTACGTGCTGGGTTAGTGTCATCCGTCGCCTCCCCCAGTTCTGTGCCAGGGCAGTTTACTTTATCAGCAGTGTTGTGGGTGTGCTCCATGTGTGGAAACGAGGCTCTGAGAAGGCTGTGTGCACACGCACACACACTTCACCCCACTGGAGATGGCGATTTGTTGTGGATAGTTATTGGGCTGGAATGTCTGGTTTTCCTAAGTTCTGTGGTTTTTTGGTTTTTATTATTAGTACAATCACTCTAAAGGCTTTTGTTTAGCAGGTTGGTTTTAAGTGATGTAGAGACTGATTTATATATTTTTTAAATATTTTATTGGGGAATTGGGGGAGGGGAACACACAAGTTGCTGTCTTTTTGTTCTTCAGTCTAGTTGTGGAGGACGTCCCCTCACTGGCCCATGTTGGTATTATCATTGCGCTCTTCCCCGGCTGAGGCAGTTGCTCGCTGGCCATTGGATGGCCGCTCAGGGTGGCTCCGGCAGCTCACGAAAGCGCTCGCTGGCTGCCGGCCACTCACGGTAGCTCAAGGCAGCCCACAGCAGCCCCACTGCAGCCTACACCATCACCGGCGACTCATGGCATCCCAGCTCCAGGTCGAGCTGCTGTTCACCATCTTAGCTCTAGAGGGCGCAGCGTCACTGGCCCTCATGTGGGATCTGAACCAGGGCCCTGCTGCTCAGAGCTGACGTCCTAAGCCAGCTCCTAACCAGCACACCACTCGGTCGGCCCCTGATTTATAGTTTAAGGAAATGCTTTGTTTATCTGTAGTTTCTCAGGCAAGAGTTGAAGATGTATGCCATCAGAGATTTTCGTAGCACGGCCCCCATTTTTGTTCTGGTGGGTCAGTAAGGAGAGTGCCTATAAACCCAAGTGATGCACTTTTGCTTGTGCTGGACACCTTTGTGGTACTGTTAAGTAATTCTTTTTTTTTTTTTAATTGCACTCTTGAAATTGTGGAGAATGGTAATTAGGTGGCAGTCGTGGGTAGCCATGTGGAAGTTTTGAGGAACATTCCAGTTAATTTCGATGTCAGATCAGTTATGCTTGGTGGTGACTGGCCACAGATGTATGTGCACACTGGATTTTACACCTGTACTGGTTCTGTAGTGTTTGTTTGTTCATGTCTTCACCAGGTGTCTGTGTCCAACCCTGTGCCAGGGACCTCTTCTAGGCCCTGGGGGCAGCGGTGAACAAGGGGATAGGGTCTGTGTCTCTCGGATCTTACTTGACAGGGATGGCGCAGGGCTTTCGTCCCCTTTGGTGAGCAGTAAGGATCACTGTGACCCAAGGTAGCCTAGTGCTTGGGACAGTTGGGCAAAGTGAGTGACCCAGATTCTTCTCAGAAAGCTTTCTTGGAGGAAGATGTGGTTCTGTTTTCTCAGGAGGGTCTTCCCCATTTGATGGCAGGGGAGGGCTTCCTGGCCTAGGCCATGTGTCCCCCGCCCCTATCTTCAGGCCCCCATCCTGTTCACCCCCCTCCCACCCCCAAACTGAAGCTCTTCTTTCTCTTAGGAATTTTTTTCCCATTGTGCCTCCTGTACCAGGTCCCTTAGGGCTTGTGTTAGAAGCTGATGATAACTTACTTAACCCAGATATTTGAACATTTCAGAGATAAAAATGGAAACTAAACCATCTTCCTAAGTTAGGCATTTCCAGTCTATGCTGTTACCTCAGGTGGTACATAATAGGGATGTACCCACATCATGTTTCTACTCCAGATATCAAGATTAGGGCTGGTGTCTTTTTGGGAAAGGTTATTTATAGAAAAGTGGAATCCCCCAAAACTTAAAAATGTCACAGACATGTCAAATGTCATAAAAGAAAAGAAAAGAAAAAAAAAAGGTAACATTGAGATTAGACCTGGGGACTAACTTTGCTTTTGCCAAATTGGGACATTTAAAAAACAAAAAAACAAAAAACCTCTACTATTTGCCACTGCCTTTCTTTTGTTTTTTAAAAAAGGGTATTTTGGCACCAAAAAGGAAAAAAGACCTCAAAAAAAGGCCAATGTTTATTTCAGTTGAAATTAATCTGAACTCATTGAGTTGTTCTCTGTTTCTCAGTTAGCTATTGGCCAGGGAAGATAGTTGTCAAAGTTTGGGAACTACTTTTCTAGAATAAGTGCTGTTCGTTTCTTCAGTTAAAATATTACTTGGGACACTGGCATTCAGCAAATATTTGTTGAATGAGTAAATGCCTACAGAGAAACCTAAATGATCAGTCACATATCCAAACATCATTCAAGATCCTGATTAGCCTAGTCATTAAATATTCTTTTGAATGTATCTGTTTATGGATATAGATCTGCCCCCCAGAAGCATAGAATGTTGGAACTCCGCGATGATCCTATCATTTAACCATCTGCAGTACGTAGACACAGATGAGGTATGTGGCGGCGACAGTGTTCAGGTTGTGGCTTAGCCAGGACTGGAACTCAGGTCCCTGGAGGATTTGTTCTGTTACATCCCACCACCGCTGGTAGTCAGCCCACGTGTTTACACTCCATTGTGAGCACAACAAAAGACTCAGAAATTAAGAGAAAACACTTCAGCACATTCTTTTTTTTACCCTAATCTTTGATCTGAAGTCTTATTTAGAAAAGCTTAATGTTAAAAACCTAGCTTATTCAAAACGAACGCTAACAAGGAATATGAGAATTTTCTTTTTTATGAGTGTAAAGAAGGGGAAGAGATATTTCCTCCTCTGCTGAGTACAGGCCCTCGCTTTGAGGAAGTGGAGAGAAGGAAAGGATTTTTTTTTTTTTAAACGTTGCCTGTGGTGGGAGTAGTTTGCATGTCTTTTTGTTTTCTTGGGTGGAATTAACTGACTTCAGTTAAAGTAGCTGGCGCCGTTTAAAAACAATTCCTATGCTTGCCATGAAGATGGAGAGTATTGGCTTTAGAGGCTATTTCTTCTCCAAGAGTGAAAATTAGCTTCTAAATCAGAGCCTGCAGAGCTAAATGAAGGCGTCCATTTTTTCACCTGGCCAGTGCAGAATGTGAAAGGTGGATAAAAAAAAAAAGAGAGGATCCATTTGCTGATTAAAGGCTAAGCCATGTGAGTGAAAGCAGCCCCAATCCATGTTGAGGAATTTTATTTTAACTATGTACATTCACAAAGTAGCTTTGTGTGTTTCCTTATTTATTGTTTGGACAAGGAAGCCCTACCCTGACGCTTGTTGAAGGCAGAGTTGGCCAAAGCAAACCGGGATTTGGGCCGTGGGTTGAGGTTTCGAGTATCCAGTGAACCCAAATTTATCCAGGTTCCCCTTGACCAGGATGGCACCCGTTCCGAGGTGTTCTGTATGTCTTGAATGGGGGTTTTCGGAAAGGTTCTTGTTTTTCTGTGCTGACACTGCTGACCTGTGTGTGTGTAATCTTCTAGTGTGCTTTGAGGCGTTTATGTTTCCTGTATGTTTGTATATTAGACAATTTGGAGCTCTGGCTTTTACATTTTTACCTCAAGTGCTTTCTTTCATTGTCATCTGATAATAAGTCTCTAGACTTGTAGAGGCTGTTTATAAGGATACACATGCGCATTTTAGTGGCATTTTAAACGTATTCAGCTGCATTTAACAATTAGTCCTGAAACTTCACACTTTAGATTTAAACCATTAAAACTTTTCAGTGACAAGTTGCTTAACTGGATGGAATTCTAGTGATTGAATCAAGGCACTGATTGGATAAAATGCTAATGATTTAAATGAACAAGCGGGTTTAACAGGATGGCACTGTAATTAGAAGTACAGTGCTTGAATCTGGTACCTTCTCTGCAACGTGGAAAAAACCACTGCGACTCATGCACGCCAGTCTTCTCGTTCCTTTAACTGTAGCTCACCGTTTCTATTTCTTTTCTCTAGGTTTTGGAAATCCCTGGTCTCCAGATTGCTGGAATTGACTTGCTCCACTGAATCACTCAGTGGAGACAAAGAGAACTAAATGCTAATGCTTTGTGCTGACTCATATTTGAACCAAAGCATTGGGGAGCCCGTCTGCCTTTTTGTGGAAAGGACCAGTGACACTGTCTATCACTGAGCTTCCTGAGACTTCTGAAGAGAGGACGTTAGAGGAAGATAACACTTTCTTTTGAGCTTTTATAACAGATACTTGCTCTAGTTCTGAAGCCCAGGGCTGCTTGGGGTGTGAGTGACAAGTCTTACAAGTGGCCTTATTCCAACTCCAGGAATTCCTCAGCTGGATTCTGACTTTAGCTAAAGTGACAGGAAACATGCCAACACAATCCCTTTTAGTGTATATGGATGGACCAGAAGTAATTGGCAGTCCTCTTGGCACCCAGATGGAGCTAGATGATGCCATGTCCCTAAAAGGCACCACTGCCGTTCCTTTCCGAGCCACCCAAGAGAAAAGCAGCATAATCCAGATAGAAGGGCACACGCCCATGGACTGCATGTTTTGCAGTCAGACCTTCACACACTCGGAAGACCTTAATAAACATGTCTTAATGCAACACCGGCCCATCCTGTGTGAGCCCGCCGTTCTGCGTGTCGAAGCCGAGTATCTTAGTCCACTTGATAAAAGCCAAGTGAGGGCAGAACCTCCCAAGGACAAGAGTGGCAAAGAAAGTGAAGAACTGAGCTGTGAAGTGTGTGGGCAGACCTTCCGAGTTGCCTTCGACGTTGAGACCCACATGAAGAAACACAAGGACTCCTTCACGTACGGGTGTAACGTGTGCGGACGGAGGTTCAAGGAGCCCTGGTTTCTGAAGAACCACATGCGGACACACAACGGCAAGTCGGGGGCCAAGGGCAAGCTGCAGCCGGGCTCCGAGAGCCCGGTCACCATCAACGAGGTGGTCCAGGAGCACGCCGCCGAGAGCATCTCCTCTCCTTACAAAATCTGCATGGTTTGTGGCTTCCTATTTCCAAATAAAGAAAGCCTAATAGATCACAGGAAGATGCACACCAAAGAAACGGCTTCCGGTAGCAGCAGCAGCAGCAGCACCCAAACAGACTCTCAGCAGGAGGGGATGCCAGCCCCGGGAGAGGAGTTCCTGCAGTTCTTGAACTTGAGACCCAAAGTGCCCCCTGAAACCGGGAGGCAGCCCGCCGGATGGATACCTCAGCTCGATCCGTTCACCACCTACCAGGCCTGGCAGCTGGCCACCAAGGGCAAGGTCGCCGTCTGCCGAGAAGTGAAGGAGCAGCCGGGGCAGGAAGGAAGCACCGACAACGACGATTCGGACAAAGAAGAGCTCGGAGAGATATGGACCATGAGTAAAAGCCATTCCGAGGGCTCTGGAAAGTCGAAAACAAGCAAGAGCGGTTGTCCAGGCCTCTCCCAGGAGAAGGAGAAGGCCAGGCACGCCAACGGTGAAGTGCCTTCCGGGGATGCGGACCCCAAGCTGTCGAGCAACAAAGAGAAGCCCACACACTGCTCTGAGTGTGGCAAAGCTTTCCGAACCTACCACCAGCTGGTCCTGCACTCGCGAGTCCACAAGAAGGACAGGAGGATGGATGCCGAGTCGCCAACCATGTCGGTTGACGGCAGGCAGCCCAGGACAGGCTCTCCGGACCTACCCGCCCCCCTGGACGAGAACGGAGCCATCGACCGAGAAGGTGGTTCTGAAGATGGCTCTGAGGATGGGCTTCCCGAAGGGTTCCATCTGGGTAAGCTGCTGCGCCCCGCGCTGCCCTCCTCCACACCCAGAGGACGCCGGGGGTGGGGGTTTAGGGGCTGGCTCTGTCTGAGTCCAGGCTTTTTCGGTACCACCCTGTCGTAAGTCACCTAACCCCCTCTGGGCTGAGTTAAAAGTCCTTTCAGGGTTTCTTCCTGTTCTGAAAATTCTGTGACTTTATGGTTTGCTGAAAGGACACGCATTGTTGTAACTTGTGGATCAACTGAAAGCAGTGCTTCTTTAAAGCGTGCTTAACGGGGGTGATTTTGCCCCCACAAGACAGCTGGCGTGGTCTGGAAATGGTTTTGGTGTCACTGGGGGGGTGTGTGTTTGTGCTGCCGGCACACAGTGGGTGGGAGGGCAGAGATGCAGCTGTAAGCATCTGCATCCTCTCATGCACAGGACGTCCCCCCACCCCCCGCAAAATTATGTGGCCCCAAATGTCAGTAGTGCCAGGGTTGAGAGGCCAGACAATACATTGGACTCTTCATCTCCTCTTAAGCCCGTGTTTGGCTCTTTTTCTGATAACGTGATGGATGTGAGAGCAGTAGTTTTCATATCAAATATTTAGGATGTTTTAAGGTTCCTGGGACACAGGAAACCAAGCAGTGAAAGAACTGCAGTTTTCAGAAACCTAGGAAGCATATTGTAGTTTCTTAGTACGTCATAAAAAGCTTTAACCCAGACCTCCAGTTTTCTCAGTGATTTTTGCCACCATCAGGACAGTTGAGGAGCATGCAGTGATGGGGAAATAATTAGGCCCAGGAGAGGCCCCAGTGCCCCGAGAGAAATAAAGTGTCCAGTCATGCCCTGCCAGTAGGTGGTGTGGGCGGGCCGAAGGCTCGGCTGGAAAACTTGGGCCCCGTCGTCAGGCTGCTGGACTACCTGTAATTGCTGGGAGCACCGAGGCTCGAGCTGAGTCTGGTTCTACCACTGCATTGTTCTGTGACCAATTACGCGTTGCTTCACCTTTCTTTGTCCTGATTTCCCTGTTTGCAAAATTGGCTCATTGACCCTTGTCTTCCGCCTCCCAAGGAATTTCAACAGCCTTATTTATAAAGCGTTTACAGTTCTTTAAAGAGCAGCACTGTGAAGCCAGGCAAAGGTGATGCGCAAAGGACAGGAAGCATGTAGATGTGGACACTGCACGTCCTTTCAGTTAAAACAAAGGCATTTCATCACTTTTTGGGTGTGATGCAACGCACCCTAAATTGTGAACACACAGTTGGAAGTAGGAAGTTGCGATAAGGCACAAGCCCAGCTACAAACCCAAGAGCTCCTTGGGTGTGATTGTAAGAAAGCGAGCCTGGCATCCTGTATTTAGGGAATTGATTGGTTTTCCTAGATTTAGATTGTGATGTGGCCTAGTGTCGATTTATCTTTCTGTAATTTACTATCCAACTGGCTTTTTTAAAAGGTTTATTTTAAAGAATATCAAAAAGCAAAGTAGATTATTTAAAATTTTTTTTCAACTTTTATAAATGGGTTTAATAGTTGTTCATGGGATGATTTTTTTTTTTTAAAGTCTTCATGACACCCCTTTAGATCAAGGGTTGTCCCTGCTGTTTTAGAGTGTTTAAAGGTATGGACACATTTTCCTCGGAGGAGTTCGGGGGGAGGGGGGCAGAGATTGTACAGCCCTGTTTTTATTGTACCTGGAGGCTCACCAAGGTTTGCTTGTAGGCTGCCTTTAAAAATCGGTAAGCTATAAAATAACCTAGAGTAGAAAATGGGAAGGAGCAGGAGAGAGGCCTTTTCATTGGAAATAACAGTTTTTCAAGACAAAACACCCACTTTAGTTATGCTAAATTTTAAGAGATGGCCGACTTCAGAAGTTGTCCTATTGTAATGTATGTAATATGAGCTACAGTAAGAGGAGAGTTGATCTAAATGCAAACACTCACTTTTGGGGGAGCTGGTGTTTTAACTGCAGCATGTCTAATTGTCTTGGAGGCCTGGTGTTTGTGTGAAGTGGAACCATCCTTTAATGAGTGTCCCCAGTGGACATTGAGGGCAGATTTTGATTTATCAGATATATTGTGGCCACGTGAGTGCTCGTGGATGATACAATCTGCTTTCCAAAAAGGCTGCTAAATTTTGACAAACTTTCCTAGGTGTTTGCCCGTGCCAAACCTTTTATTTTCTGTGCAGATGAAGTTGTGCTTGCTACCCTCTAGTGGTTACTTGCCTAACCTTAACATAGAAAGCTTATTTTTGCCCCTGGTGGTTGGGAAAATTGGTGATTTCTCTTGGCTCAGTTTTCTAAAGGACTTTTTCTGAAGAAGTTGCTTATTCCAGCCCTGGGTGTCGGTCTGGCCAGGTCCTGCCGGTTTCAGCCATGTTGAGAGAAAGAAAGCTGCCCCTGCATCTATCTATTACACAATGTTACCTGTGATTAAAGCAAACAGAAAACCAAATCATTTACAGTGAACTGTGCTAGACTCAGAAAAAAACCCAAAAAACAAAAAACCCACACGCGTGTTAGATAGCTTCAAAACTTCAGACAACCTCAAAACATTTGGTGTGCTTTTAGCCTTTTTGGTTTACCCAACTCTGATATAAATGCTTTCCAAAAATGTTTCTGTCAAAAACATTTTAGTCACCTCCCTTACTCATGTGCTTGAGCTGTCTTCTTACATATTTTTTGTTTCTGCTTTAAGATAAAAATGATGACGGAGGCAAAATAAAGCATCTTACATCCTCAAGAGAATGTAGTTATTGTGGAAAGTTTTTCCGTTCAAATTATTACCTCAATATTCATCTCAGAACGCATACAGGTAAGGAACTTTAGATTTTTTCAAAAGGATGTATTAGTGAAAAGAATTATGTAGTTCTGTGTCTGATTTTTTCCCCCCAAATATTCTGCTAGACCCTCAGAACAGTTTAAGAATAGACGTGGAGTGTGCAGATTGCAGCTGCCATTTTAATTCTTAGTGTCATTGTAACCTGAACTGCTGTTCTTGTTTTGAAGTTAGATTCTTGTTTAGTTTCTAACTACTGTATCCTGATTCTCATTTTCAAATCTCTTTAATGTCTTTCAATGCCACAGCTTCTTTGTATTTTTATGGTTTAGAATGAAATGTGAATATATTTAGTACCCTTTTTAGATTGCAGAAGGAGGCTGCGTGCACTTGAATTTCTTGTCTTCTACTCACTAGCTGTGCAACTGTGGGCAAGTTATTTAACCTCTCTGAGCCCCGTTTTTCTTAGCTGTAAAAGTGGGATAATAAACGTTCTACAGGGCTTTTATGAAGTTTAAAGAAGTTTAAAGTGTTGTTATTTTATTTTTTAAATTAAAGACATGCATTCACAAGTTAAGATATTCAGTATAGTATGCGTGGTAAAGCAAACACGTCATGAGAAATCCTGGATATGAAGATTAGTAGATAGAGAAGGGAAAAGGAAAGAAACCTTTATTCTCTCTTAGAGTTTTCTGGTTTCTGAAGATCTATTTTGATGCCTTTCATAAACTTCCGTAATGTAGCAGCATTTCTTGTTTCAGGTGAAAAACCATACAAATGTGAATTTTGTGACTATGCTGCAGCCCAGAAGACCTCTCTGCGGTACCACTTGGAAAGACACCACAAAGATAAGCAGGGTGACACCGCTGCTGAAGTCAAGAGCGAAGGGAAAAATCTGGAGACCGAAGATGCACTCCTCACCGCCGACAGTGCGCAAACCAAAAATTTGAAACGATTTTTCGATGGTGCCAAAGATGTTAAAGGCAGCCCACCTGCAAAGCAACTTAAGGGCATGGCCCCTGCTTTCCAGAATGTTCTGGGCAGCGCTGTCCTTTCACACGTCCACAAAGATACTCAGGATTTCAATAAAAATGCATCCGAAGACAGTGCTGATAGAATGAGCAGAAATCCTGCCCCTGCCTATTTGGACACGGTAAAGAAGAGGCCAGCAGTTGAACCTCAGGCCAGTAACCTCATCTGCAGAACGGAAGTGGATGTCACTCCTCACCCAGGTGGCGGTTCCGCCCATAACGCTGAAGTCAGCCACAAAGAGAAGGCAGAGGTGGCAGGGGACTGCAAATTCAAGCCGGGCCTCGACTGCCAAGAAAAACCTTTAAACTTATCCGTCGGGGCTCTTCACAGTTGCCCGGCAATTTCTTTGAGTAAAAGTTTAATCCCAAGCATCACCTGCCCGTTTTGTACCTTCAAGACGTTTTATCCAGAAGTTTTAATGATGCACCAGAGGCTGGAGCATAAATACAACCCCGACATTCACAAGAACTGTAGGAGCAAGTCTTGGCTGAGAAGCAGACGGACCGGATGCCCGCCGGCGTTACTGGGAAAAGACGTGCCTCCCTTGCCCTCCTTCCCCAAGCCCAAGCCCAGGCCGGCGTTCGCAGCCCAGTCCAAGTGCCTGCCGTCGGAGAAGGGCAAGCCGGGAGCCCCGGGGCCGGGCAAAGCCCCGCTGACTTCAGGGACCGACCCTAGCACTTTAGCCCCCAGCAACCTGAAGTCGCACAGGCCACCGCAGAGCGTCGGGGCGCAGGGGGCTCCGGCCGCCAGGCAGCCGCCGCCCGAGCTGTTCCCCAAGAGCGGCGCTTGCCCTGCCCCGGAGAGAAGCAAGAGGCCGGAGGCCAAGCTCAGAGCCCCGGCGGCCTGCGCGGGCAGCAGCTCCGTCAACGGCTCCGCCGACTTCCCCGCCAAGCACGACGGCCCGTGGGCGCCCCCGGGGCGAGACTATTTCTGTAGCCGGGGTGCAGGCGGCGCCGGCCCGGAGTTCGGAGAGCCGCTGCCCAAGAGGCCGAAGCCCGGGCCGGGGGCCCTGGACGCCGAGCAGCCCGCGCCCAGCTACCGGAGGGGCTTCGACCTGCCCAAGTACCACGTGGTGCGGGGCATCGCGGCGCTGCTGCCGCAGGAGTACGCGTGCCCGCCGCCCGCGGCGCCGCCCCCCAAGCCGCGCTTCCTGGCCTCCGGGGAGATCGATGCCGCCAACGTGCTGACCGTGCACAAGCCCTACGGCGGGGCCGGGCCGCTGTACGCGTGCGGGCCCGCGGGCGGCCAGGCGGCGGGCGCGGCGC